AATTATAATATGAGGGTTGAATTTTAATTATTTTTAAAATCTCTGTTCTTCTCTTACACTTGTTTTAAATTATTTTGGTTCTAAACTCTAGCATTAATATGTTGCAGCAAATTCATACCTTGCTGTTACACTATTTCATTCTTTTCTTGAAAAGGCATGTGTAGATACTAATTAGAAATAAGTGAGAGCAGCCCAGTGGCCCTTTCTAAATCATAAATATAAATGAGGCTTACAAGTGCTGCTATTTGTCTTATGTTGGATAAATGGACTTTGGTCGTAATATATATTAACCTTTCAGTATTTAATATGCGTAGCACTAGCTGATAAAGAATGATTTGAAACAATAATAATTATTTAACATAACTAATTTCTCCTCTTCTAGGTGCTCAAAATTTTTCTCTGACAGTTTCTTAGCCTAATGAATAAATAATTCATTAATAAGTAATATGAATAAAAAATTGAGTAACAAATGTAATTGTTACTGTGAACATAAAGAACCACTACATCATATTATTTAGCCTAATTTCCATATAATAAAGATGAAATAAAGTTTGAAATTTACTACAATGTGACACAGTAGTACAAATAATAAATATTGTTAATAAAAAGTGAATTTCCTGTATGTTTACAATATATTTATTTCACACAGATTTGATGTTTGTAATGAAATGCAGTATGCCTGAAACACACATAAAAATGACATACGCTCGTATCATAAATACGGTTCTGTACAAATTAAAGACATGTTTTTGAATTAAACAAGGAAACAAAAGTAAACGTAATATTAATAAATTTCAGCAATTAAGAAACGAAATACTAAGCTTGCACTATTGTTACAGTAATTTCAAAACATTTTGAATATGAATTTAAATTGGTAATAACATAAATATAGGTGTATACATTGTTATATTATTTACGGTATAGAAATAAAAATTTATGAACATTTCAGTCAATGTACATGGGAAGCGCAAATATAAAGTAATATTATATGCGCATATAAAAAATAAATTCAGGATTCTGCCAAAAATATAATTAATCAAGCACACTTCAGTTTCAATTACAATCGGCAAACTAAGGCACCATGGACAAAACGATTTAAAAGCTGCAAAATAAGATGTCTTTAATTTTTCCCATTGGCGATATTGTCGCCAAATATAGTTTCCGTGTAGGCGATTTTAAACCAATCACAGCTCAGAAATACGTCGGAGCTTCCTACATTTAACGATATGTTTCTACTATTATCCATGAGACCTGGTAAGCCTCCACTCGCAAAAAGATTTTTTTAAACCAAATTAAAATGCCATATTGCTTTGCAAAATGAACAATTTAAAAGCAATACACATGCTTCTTAATTCTTCTTCTAAGTAACATTTTTATTTTATTAGCCCACTGGAGGATTAGCTCAGAAGAGCTATTAGTCTCGAAACGGGATTTTGTGCTGAATTACTGTAAAAGGCTGAATCACTTTTCAAATTGTTGTTATCAAATACTATCGCCCTGTATTATTTAAAAAGAAATTCAATAAAGGAGTATGTACATGAAGGTAGGTATATTTTTCACATTGTGAAAAAAAAACAAAAGATCCTAGAGCCATCAAATTTTGATTAACATAATCCTCCACCCGAACATAGTCACCTGGAAACCCAAATTTTGAATTTCGAACTTTTTTTATTATCTATTTTACATTTTGTAAAATTTTAATGAACTTTTTTATCAATAAACTGAATGATTTCAAAGCGAGCAACGGCAACATTGTACAGAAAAAACATTTTTATCTCAAGCGCAAGAGACTGTCTAAAGAAATTTCTAAAGATATGCTGTTCTTGTGATATTTCTGTTGAATTTAATTTAATGTGGTTTAAGTGTGAAGAACATGATATTTAACAAATAAAAGTAACACAAAAACATTTTAAAAAATGCCCCTTTGGACGTAATATAAAATCCAAAAGCTTTCAAATAATTTTTTTAAATTTTTTAATAGCATTTCTTATTAATATATTAGATACCCCTTTGAAAATTATTTTTACACTATTTCTGTCAATTTAAATACAGGAAAAAAGTACATAATCTTATTGGCAGAATTTTAAACTTACAACTATCGATTTGTATAACTATTTTAAATATGTACATATTTAATAAAAAGATGTTTCTAATCCATATACTGCACATCTTGGCTACAATAGTGTTTTACTTAACGAGTTTGCCAGATGCCTTTATTTAAATAAAATTATATGCTAATTTGAGCCATTAATAAATTTACAAAATACCTCAATTCTTTTGCAAAAGATGAGCTATTCATATTTTGAAAAATGTATGTGTTTTTAACAGCAATTTAAGGCATTAATTGAACTGTACAACAAATGTTTGGAAAGTAGTACCTGTTTTGTGATCAATTTAAAAAAGGGGGATGAATAAATGGAATTACCATTTACTAGAGCTTTTTGTTGTCAGCAAAGCACATTTTACCACAAATTGATACTCCTCCACACCAGCACATGTTATTTTATCCATGCAACATTTTACTTAACTTTACAACTTTTGCCTTTTCAGTGAGAGAAGCAACTGGCCTCAACTTCGCCTAAAACAACTACTACCTTTTTCACAATATTGAATAGGAGTTCAGAAAGAGAACACTTTGTTGACATTGAAGTGCTCTCACAAAGTAACTTCATTCTTCAATGGACTGGCGGGAGAAATATATGACACAGTCACATAAACGCTTGACTCTCCACATAAAAACAGCCTTAACCCGTTCGGGACAGGTGTATCATATATGCATCAGCAGCTAATCCTCTCACGAGCTGGCAAGCTGCTTAGCGCAATTCACCTTGGAGACGATGTGTTGCACCAGTATAACACAATGTGCGACGCACCAGTGCATTACACGCCTGCTAGCAACATTTAGGACTGATACATATTATGACACACCCGTCGACAGAGGGTTTTTAGTTCAGCAACATGCCATCACGAAGGGGTTAATGCTATGAAGGCCTTAACAGAATAATAGCCATATTGTATGCAACATCAAAATTAAAAGGTTTTATTCAACTAAATACATTACTTTTTTTTTTTTTTTTTTTTTTTTTTTTGCTTATTGCCATATACATATTAGTTTCTAAATACAATCCACAATTAGCCCTATGTATGCAACTTCAAAATTAACCCTTCAGCTATTGTGAGATTAAGCAATTCTTCTTCTAAATATGCACAATAATGGTCTGTCATAAATTTGTAATGCAAGCTGTCTTCATTTGCAGCCACTGCTGTGCATAACTAGAAAGCAAGTTGAGCTCTTTTATGACAATTGAAAGGTTAAAATGTTTCACGCAACTGACTACTTATATTTGTTGCTTATTAAGTAGGTGCTACTACAATTACAGAGTAACTTAGGTCTGGCAATCATTCTTTTTAGAAAACCTGACAATAATCAACAACATAAAATTTATTGTATGGTTACATTATCCATATTACATGCTACTACTAATGTATATAGAAACTGATCCATTTCAACAATGAGCTTTTCATATTTTGAAAATTTTTCAAATTTCCTAAGCTGAAGAATTTCAATATGGAAAAAATTATAAATTTTCCTCTTGAAGATACAGAATTTTTTACTTTACCTTTTTGCTATTTAAAGAAAATGAAAGTTGTTCTGGGATGTGTTAAAAAACTTAATAAAAAAATATGATTAAACTGAAAATGATCTTATGTAAATAAAGCCTAAGAAGAAAAATAAAGCTTTAATGGTTTTCTACAAGTACTTAAATGCTAACAGCATATACATTTATAACATAAAACAATTTCATATTTATGGCTGTGTAATACTAAAATTGGTTATTAGAAATTCAATAATTTCTGTGTCAACTTCCTAACATAAAACATAATAATATAACATAAAACATAACATAATAAAGAAGTTCTAAAAATATGCTGCTTTTTCTTTGCACTGGAAAACAATTACCCCCCCCCAAAAAAATCTATATGTCTGCATAAAAGCATATTTCAGAATTATATTTTTAAAAGGCAAATTCTATGCTGTTTATGATCAAATTTTCAAATTCTGAACATCAAGAGTTACTTATTTTTTGTTCCAGAAATTTACTTCCAGAATTAATTTTTCCCCCATCTGAGAATATGGAAATTATCTTATTTATTCAAGACAGAAACTTTCATGCAAAAATACAAAGCTCGAGACTTGAGATTCAAGGGATTTTAGTTTTATGGATTTCAGATCATAAATGAGGAATCAGCCAGCATTCATGCTACTTAAAAAAAAAAAAAAAAAAAAAAAAAAAAAAAAAAGAGAGAGAGAGAGAGAGAGAGGAGAGAAGGAAGAATAACTAAAACTAAAAACAGAAACTGGTTTTGAGACTAAGATCTATTAGTCTGACACCTTCCCAAGAATTACACAGTTATAACTTCTTGATTAGTCACATGATTTTGTTGCTTTAAATTCATTTCTTAATTATTGCAAGAAAAGAGTTTATTAAAAAGTGGCTATTTTGAAATGATAAAATAATACTAATTTTAGGTACAGTCATAATGAAGGTTGAAAATCCTGGCGATTTTCTTATAAAAAGGCAGCAGTTGCTACCAAACATTAATACTAGCACCAAATGCAGTACAAATTAAAGCCTTTCTCTAATTGAATATAACAGCTGATTTTTCATGATTATTTAGCCATCGCTTAATCATAAAATCCATCACAACTTTTTTATCAAAATTTTATAAAAACTATAGTTTACTGCCAATGGTTGTGTAAATTTTAAGTGTTAGCTGAATTTTTGCTTTCTATAGCAGGGGTTCTCCAACTTTTTAAAATTTTGTACCACATAAATAAGAATAAAAAATATGTGTACCTAAACTGGTGACATTTTACATTTATTTTGAAGCTTCACTTAAATCATGTGTAAAAACTGTATCACTAAAAATAATATATTATTAGTGGCACCTAAGAAACCCTGTTCTACTACAATAATACTTTTGCCTCTTATACTTACTTCTACTGTTTTTGCTCGATAAATCTTTCCTTTATATACACAACAGTAAACACAATTTTCATGCACATCATGACATGGTTTAAGAATGCGTGATTCAATTTCATTTTCCATTCTTGACAAATCTTGAATAGCATTTTCTGTTTGGATCCAGAATCTTGAAGGACTGCAGATGAAGGATACAGATACCTGTTCGAATAATTCAGAAAGCAATTCATTTTAAGTAAATAGTAGAAAATTACATACAAAGTACAAAGATTAAATTTCAAATTAAACTATGGCTTAACTACATTTGGTACATCAAATGCAGTAAGGTTATTTTATACAACTTAATTCTTTATAGACAACGGTGATATATATGCAGCAAATGTTAACTCACTTAAGAAGACAACAGTGCATGCATGGTAATGAAGACCTCTCTTAAAAAGAAGGGCACCAGTTTTGCATATAGTCACAGAGAAAAATATATATGCCAATAATAGCATTACTTACTCATTTTATTTGATACAGCATATCTTTCCATTTTTTGGTTTTGGGAATATGGGCTATTTATTTCATTGCATTTTACTTTTTATTATTTTAACCTTTCTCCTTTTCTTTTTAATAAGGTGCCTCTGAAATACCAGACTAGACACATTGGGATAAAAGGAGAGGTTAAAAAATCTGCTTTATTTGCTTTAGATATTTTAGTTTTAATGCAGTAATGACAGCTTAACAGACAGAAAAGATTTCAAGATTTCTGAATTTTATCTTTAAATGAAATAATGAAATCAGCTTCATGGTTTAGGAAGAGCTTCAATGAATGAAATACATACTCATGAAGCCAGATAGCCTATTATACAGATTCTCTCTCATCATACCGTACTTGTAACTTCAAGATTATATTCTGACATTATATATGCAGCAAAATATACAGTATAGTCTATTAAATATTTCAGATTTTAGAAGCTTATTATTTTTTTAAATCTTTCAATAGTAATAATGGAAGTAAGGATATCTTTGTGCTTTTATTAATAAAATAATTAGAAAGAAATTAATTGTTTCAAAAGCTTGATTTTTTACAGCATTTGTAAAGTAGCAACTTTAAAATTGTACTACCCTTTTAAGTGAAATCACTTGTGACAATCTGTCCCTGCAGCTACTGAAACAAAATTCCTTCTTCACTCAAAAAGATTTAAACATATTTTTTTAAAACAGTATTAGGTACTTTAAATAAGGGATAAATTATTTGAAAGAAAAAAACATACTGCAGCATAAACAATAATTTAGTTTATAGAGCAGATAATTACCTGGGCAATTTAGCAATTTTAGTAAACAGTAGATTTAAGAGGACAGACAATACAGAATCGCTAAATTAGTATACTTACTATTATACTAACTCAATAACTCTAATTAGTATACTTACTATTATACTAACTCAATAACTCTAGAATTAATCAGCCAGCATACTAAATCTAGAGATTCTGTATGCTTACATATACAACTAAGTTAAATCTTACTTTCAATATTAGTTTGAAACTGTTATTTGAGGAAACAGAAAACACATGGTAAAATACTACAAAATGTTAGCAGAACACCTAAATATTTGCCTCATAGCATATTTAAGGCTCTATGAGTAGAAGCATGTTAATTTTAGTAAATACTTCTTAACTGAAAATGAGAAAATTTTCATTTAGCAACACATTATCAAATAAAGTTATATAAAAAAAAATGACATCTAAATTATAATATTGTTGCATGTGTATGTGTTTGTAATGGATAGAATGCACACAAAACTGATGACAGCTTGATAAAATTTATTTTCACTAAAGAAATACTTTACAGTTCTAGAACTTACCACAAATGTACTCATACAGTACTTCTCAGTATGACAGAGCACAACCAATAAATTACCACTTACAACTACTCAGAAAGTTAAACGCAATAGAAAGCAGGCCCAAAGAGCGAAGCTCGCACAATCTCTTAATACTCCAAAATCAGCTCTGAACTAAAAACTGAGAGCTGATCCTCTCTCTGGTCTCGTATAATTTCCCCCGGCTACCGAGAAATATCTAGTACCTTCCATTTCTCGATATAACTGGAAGGCATATACGGTTAAAGTTACATATAAGGATTGGATACAGCTGCAGCTATATACAGCGATCAACCACAGTAGCACTTTCAGTTATACGCGGACCGGATCAAAGGTGATTTTGGGGGATTCTCGCCAAATTTTGGGGCAAAAATCAGTCACCAAAACTGTCGCCAGCTTAGCAATATCTTAACAATATCAGCAAGACAGCCATTTACTTCAATGGGAAATAAACTTGCCCCTGTAACCTTATTTTTATGGCTCAGCTCTGTCACTTCAGACCTTTTCTTTTACATTATACAAAAGATACACTTTCACATATAACTTCATTAAAATTATTTACATATTATACAAAATTCATGACAATATATAACACACAAATTAACATTAACTGGTTATTCAATATCAAGATAATTCTTATATTTAAATTTTGCTCTAGGTCACAAATTCTAATTTACTTAAAACATACTAAAACATTACAGAAATTTGTTAAAATTATTTTAACATACAAATATATAAACAATATAGTCTTGAAAGAAATTAAAATAGAGTTATTACAAGAAAATATTTTTGAAAGCAAAAAGGAGAAAGAAACACATTTATCTACATTTACCTTTTCTATCTTTGCAAGACTAATGTATCCTATTTCTTCATACTTGATACATGGCAATACCTGAAATGAAAAGAAAGTTTAAGTTTTTATATAATTTATTTTTAGAAAAACCATATGGAAATTACAGCATTCTGATGAGGTCTGCTCTCATATTCTAACTTTACGTTCTGATATCAAACAGCTGCGTCATCAGGAAATGTGGAATTACATGTTCTAATCTTACAGAAATAGTAACTCCCAAATAATGTCATTCACATTATATAAAAGAAATCATAACTTCATGTGCAGTGTCAAATACGTCAACAGTTTGCAAAATGTCTGTTGCGACCACTGTTCAATATCTCAAAAATTACAGACCAATAATTGCATAATACGAGGGCTATCCAGAAAGTAGATTACGTTTTGGAATAAAAAAATAAACAAAGTATAGGAAACAAATTTTATTATATACAGATGAAAGCCACACTCAAATACTACTTTTCTACATAGTCACCATACAAATTAAGGCATTTATCGTAGCGATGTACGAGCTTGGAAATTCCTTCGTCGAAAAATTCGGCCGCCTGCACCTTCAACCACTTCGTTACCTCTTCTTGCAGCTGTGCGTCGTCATCAAAACGCTGCATAGCCAGCCACTTCTTCATTGCTGGGAATAGGTGAAGTCGCTCGGTGCCAGGTCGGGACTGTACGGCGGATGAGGAGGAAAACAACTCCCACTTAAAAGATTCAAGAACTTTACGAGTGACATTTGCCGTGTGGGGCCGGGCGTTGTCGTGAATCAACAAGATCTTAGAGCTCAACATTCCTCTGCGCTTTATTGAATTGCTCTTCTGAGTTTTTGGAGAGTTTGGCAATACCTTTGAGAGTTTATTGTAGTGCCTCTTTCCAGGAAGTCCACCAAAATTACACCTTTTCTGTCCCAAAAAACAACAGTCGCCATCATCTTCCTTGCCGACATTGTTTGCATGCATTTCTTGGGTTTTTGGGGAGAACTTGTGTGCCCCCACTGCATTGATTGCAATTTCGTTTCACAGTTCACATGTTTCACCCATGTTTCGTCACCAGTAACGATGCGATCGAGTAAAGAGTCACCATCCTTATGATAAGCATCCAAAAAGTTCAACGCTGCAGCCATTCGCTGATTTTTGTGGTCCTCTGTCAAGATTTTTGGAATCCATCTTGCACAAAACTTGTGGTAACCAAGCTTTCGCTGATGATTTCGTGCAACAAACTTCGCGAAATTTGTGGGAAAACTCAAAGAAAGTTCCGTTATTGTGAAATTTCGATTTTCACGGACTTTAGCATCGACTTTTTCGAGAAGTTCGGCGGTCACTATGCTGGGTCTCCCACTTCGATCTTCGTCGTGAACATTGGTTTGGCCATTTTGAAATCTTATGACCCACTGACGCACTCCACCTTCAGTGATAATGTTGTCCCATACACTTCACGAAGCTGCCGATAGATTTCTATCGGTTTACAGTTTTTTGCAGCAGTCAGAAAACCTTATTACTGAGCGCACCTCGCAGCTCGCGGGATTTTCAATTAACGCAGACATTTCAAACCGTCACAGTATCTGAACGGAGCACAGCACGAACCTCTCACTAGCACGGCTAGATGCAGACTGAGCTGCGCAACGCTCTGACCCCAAGATGGCCGCGCTAGCCCCGCCCCTAGCGGACACAGACGGAAACGTAATCTACTTCCTGGATGGCCCTCGTACTTCTGATTTTTTCTTTTGCTACGGGCAAAATTGCAACAGAAAATTTAATGTGCATGCTAACTCCCACAGAAATACATTCCAGACCAAGCAAGAAGGTGCTGTTAATTCTCAACAGAGAGAAATCTACATCAAATATGAAGCAAATAATTGTAATCACCTAAGCACTAGAACGAAATAGCGTCATAAGTTTAATATATTATTGATATTAAGATAATTGTTTTTATCATAATTCTTTCATGCGTAATTTTATTAAATATGCCGATGTTCAATACTGCCATTAACCATTATCTAAAACATACAACCCGACTTAGGTCATCTCAGTAGTATATACATGAATGTGATCAGCGTTCCAGACCTTCTCCTGACACCTTTCTGTATCCCATAGCACTGACAGTATGCCTTAAAACTCAAAGCAAGCAAATCAAAGGATTAGAATCTTAGAAATAGCCACTAAGTTGAAGGAAATTACAAAATTAAATGAAATTAGTCAAAACACGCAAAATTTAGAATATGTGATAAATATTAACATATTTTACACCTGAATGAGCAAATTTAGGTCAATCTGAGATTCTCTTGAAATCATGTTGTCACAGTACAGGGTGGGGGGGGGGGAAACTTTATTTTTTTATTTTAAGATTGGTAGCTATAATGTATTGTATATAATATAATATTGATTTTATACAAAAAGAAAATAAGGATAAAAAATATATATATTATTTTTTACAACTTCCAAACATCTGTGTAACACTAATCTGCTTCAAATCTTGGAGATTTTCTAGTTTCTCCCTGCAAACTATATAAAGCCATTACATCAATAAGATTGGTAGCTATAATGTTGTATGTATATATAATACTGATTTTATATAAAAAGAAAATAAGGATAAAAATATATATAAATTATTTTTTACAACTTCCAAACATCTGCGTCTTCAAATCTGGAAGATTTTCTAGTTTCTCCCCGCAAACTATATAAAGCCATTACGTCAATAGCTGCCCACTTTTGTTATTTAACTTTTTAAATAACTTCAGGATGTTATAGTTTCAATTATACAGAGCCATTACTTTGCAATCAATAACATAAATTTTCTCATTCAAATTTCCTTTTTCCATTACTAGAGCAGTGAAATAACGAGTTTATTTGGAATGCATCGCTCTAAATTAAAGAAGTACCATTTTATTTCTGGGCATATTAAAATTTTTAAATTCCAGTTACTGTAATTCAGAAGTCAAACAACAAAAATCAGCGTTAATTTACAAAATTTTGTAAATTAATGCTGATTTTTGTTGTTTGACTTCTGAATTAGTATTTATTCGGCGTGTTATTGTGTCTTAATTCCAGTTACTGTAATTTAGCTTGATTTCATGGCCTCAGGTTTATCCTCTGAAGTGACTAGGGATATGCTAATAACACTTTTCTGACTCTGATAGAATTGATATTTTATTATTTACAATATTTTAATTATACTTATTTATAATAGTTTATCCATATCAAATCTCACAAACAAATTGACCACTATTTCTTGTTTTCCACAGTGACTTGATGTTCCACTCCTTTTTAATTTAACCAAAAATCTGATAATGACATAATAAATCGGTGACTGAAATGACACTACACCCTCCAGTTACAGTTTAACTTTAGTGATTTTTAGCACAGTATTTGTTTGGCAACATTTATGAAAGTTGAGTATTCAATGATTAGAATATGGTAATTTACTTCAGTGTTGAATAGAGAAACTTTTTATCAGCTACTGCAAAAGCCATCCTCATACCCCTAAATGAAGCATATTTCTAACATTGAATCATATAACATCACTTATTTTAAATCAGTTTTTTCATATCAGTTTTCCTCTTTTCTTCCCAATCAAAAAATAATGGGAAATGTTGTTCACAACTCACACTTCCCTTTATATACATCATTTGCTACATACTTTGAGAAGTTACCTGACCCTTCCCTTTATATACATTTGCTACATACTTAGACAAATTTCCTCAACCTTGGTTTTAATAGTTTTTCATAAAATGGATATTCTTGGTAGGAGAAAGATTTACTTGACATTATGATATAACTGTTGAAGGTTATATTGTGTCATTAATACTACCATTAGTACATAATTAGAAATCTCTATTAAGATTTGTGACACCACAAAAAGACTTTGGAAATGCAACTAAATACCTCAAAGAGTTCACCATCAAAAATTAGAAAGTATTAAAAACATTAAAATATATATAAAACATAATCATAATTAAAATTTGAGGATTTTAGACTATTTGCATAGCATACGATGTTTAAAAAACTTATTAATTGCAACACAGCAGTTTAAAGTTTAATGTCCAAATGCATATAATCTGTACTGAATTTTGCATGTAAGCAAACAAAATTTTGATTTTAGAAAATTCAGCCATAGTAAATTTAAAGCAATTTTTTCTTAAATATACATGAAAGCTCAATTTATAAAAAAATACACTGAGTTTATAATATATTTTGATTGAAAAAGAGAACCTATTGCTACAATTATTTAGCATCTTCTGCACCTGTGTTCTTTTTATAACTAGATTAATTTCATGGATCTAACTACTAATTAATAATAACAGAGACGAAAAGTTGCTTTAATTTTCTTTTAAAACACTTAGCTATTAAGCAATAAATGGATGGACTTGAATTTAAAAATAAATAAATAAATAAATATCTTACACTGTGTGTGCCTGAAAAGCAACATACTCACATGAGTAAAATAAAAATATTTTATTTCAAGCAGTAACATATGTTGCTTACAAACTACTGAATTTGTTACATTTGGAACAAATACATTTGAAAAAATTCCAAACACAAATATTTTGTACTTTATCGAGTAGCAAAGGACTATCAAAATCATAAAAAACAACCTTGTATTTAGCGTAGGTATAATGAAACACTCAATCGATTTCGAGGGCAGCTAAAGGTCCCTCCTCATCAGGAGAAAGAAATACATAGAAAGAAGAAAATAGGAGAAGGAGTCACAGAAACACGTGGTCCTTATCAGCACTGCACGTGGATATAACTAGATTTTTAATCAGAGTTGCACTGGCCGCCTACTTTTACTGAGCCAGGCTATCTGATCAAGCATAAAGAAATATTAGCGAAGTTAAAATAGGGAGCGAGGGGTAAATGCACCTTACGCTCAAAATCTGAACTTCAAATAATGGAAAGCAACCACTGAAAGGATTTTTATACCCTCTGGTAGTACCAACCGCGAGGAGGTAACACACTATCGGCAAAAATAACTGAATTAAGATAGTAGAATTTTAAAGGCATTAGGAAGGACTGGATTGGACTTCAAATCATTAACTAAACTTGCTAAATCTTTGTGAATGTGAAAAGCCTCGAGAAAATCCAATTCACCTATGGAAGAAGCCTTTTGGATATTTTTGCAGACCCAAAATCAAAATTATGGTTAAAAGTCCAACTATGATAAGCTATTGAAGACTTGTTAATTTCCCCTTTTTTGACATAAGATTCATGTTCCTTGATACGAAACTTCAACGCTCTTTTTGTTTGGCCAATATATCTTAAACCACACTGACATGATATACTATAAATTCCCCAAGAATTCAAGACAGAAACGCAATCTTTTAGAATCGAAGGGTGAATTTTATTAATAGGGGAGAAACCGACTTGAAAATTGAATTTCTGGAGAATCCGTGCAATTTTATAGCTAACAGAAGGATAAAATGGAAGCACGACAAGGTCATTAATATTATTTCTAACAGTGGAATGTCTTCTTTGATGGGAATCTGAAAATTTTTTAACGGCTTTATCAATAAATCCACGGTCAATCGCAGCTGCTCTCAAATAATTAAGTTCATTGGTAAGCGAAGATTCAGAGGAACAAACTTTAAGTGTGCGGAATACATAATAGTAAAAAGAAGCCATTTTTTGCTTAACAGGGTGGCATGACTTGGCATGGGGTGCAAAGGGTTTACGGTACACAGTGCTGCTAAAATCGGTTTCATTGTGGATTATAAGAATATCGAGAAAGGGGAGGGAATTGTTGGATTCAATTTCAACAGTGAATTGGATGGCTGGATCAATTGAATTCATAATAGATAGAATCTCGGATAAATCCTCTTTATAACCGTTAAAAAGTGTGAAAGTGTCGTCAACATACCGAATCCAAAGACGAAAAGATAATTTCATCTCAAAATAGTGCATATAAATGTCAGCAAGTACAGGACTGAGAGGATTACCCATAGCCAATCCTTCAACTTGACGAAAATATGCATTTTGGAAAACAAAAAGGGTTTGACTCAGAGAAACTTTAGTAAGCGAAACCAACTCATTAATTTCAGTATGTGTGAAGTGAAATTCTCGAAGCCTAATTTCAAGACAATTTAGTGCTCCTTCGACCGGAACATTAGTAAACAGTGATTTGACATCAAATGAAACCATAATGGAACAAAGTGGAGAAATATTTTTAAGTTTATCAATGACTTCAACAGAATTTTTTACAGTGTGAATATTGTTAGCAAGTAGAGAAGAAAATCTGGAAACTAAATATTTGGCCAAAGGATATGAAGCAATACAATTGGTCGAAAAGGAATACCGGTTTTGTGGACTTTTGGAAGAGCATAAAGTCTAGCGCAATTAGTAATAGGTGGAATAAGTGATTTCTTCAACTGAGTTGGCAGAATGTGGAAGATTTAATAGCACATTTTACTTTCGTGAGGTCCGAAGTTGAAGGATCTTTAGGGATCGAGCAGTATGGGCCTTCATTTATCAATTTAGAGACTCCAGTAATATATGTGTGTTTGTTCATAACAACGATCTGTCCGCCTTTATCAGCTTTAGAGATAATGATATTAGTATCAGAATGAATTTCACATAAGATCTCATTTTCCTTTTTGCTAAGATTCGAACCCAAAGATTTATTGTTAAAATTAACGTTATGAGTAATTAGGTGGCGGATTATATCCTTCTGCGTTTCCGAAATTTTGAAGAATTTAAAGGCTTTCTCTATAGGGGCGATGATTTGAGGAATTGAAGGTTTAGATGTCTTTGAAAAGTTGAAATTATATTTTAATACTTTTAACTGATCCTCCAAAAGATTCCTATTGGAGATATTAACGATGGGGTTAACGTTTACAATAGGAAGATCAGCTAGATAGTTGGGACTATCCGACTGGTGTGCGAGTTTAAGGAATTTAGAAATGAGCACATTTTTATGCCGTTGACAAATGGTATCGGTTCTAGACCAGGATGTATGTTCAAATGAGGAAAAATTTTCAGTGGAATTAGCAATTTTTAAATGGAGGTAATATAATTCAAATTCAATTTTAGATAAACGTTTGCGTGTGTCCCTTATAATGTGACGAAGAAGTGCCAATTTGAATTTATGCAAAATTTTTTAAACGTAAACGGAAGCTTTAAGGCTACATTTTACATGTATAAATTTGGGAATGAAATTTTGATGTTTGCATTTAAGTAGAAACTGTAGATGATTCAAGAATTTCATACGCTTAAGGCGTAACTTACAAAATCGGTTCCTGTCAGTGACATATTGTGAAAAGGGCACAAGCAAGAAACAAGTGAACAAAAGAAATGTAATTCCGAAAGTCCAAACAAGTAATTACTTATAACATGAAAAAACACCAATAAATAATGAAGACAATTCTTTGCTTTCCAATGAACTTAATTATTTGAGAGAAGTTGCGATTGACCGTGGATTTTCTCCCGTGATTATTGATAAAGCCGTTAAAAAATTTTCAGATTCTCATCAAAGAAGACATTCCACTGTCAGAAATAATATTAATGACCTTGTCGTGCTTCCATTTTATCCTTCTGTTAGCTATAAAATTGCACGGATTCTCCAGAAATTCAATTTTCAAGTCGGTTTCTCCCCTATTAATAAAATTCACCCTTCGGTTCTAAAAGATTGCGTTTCTGTCTTGATTCTTGGGGAATTTATAGTATATCGTGTCAGTGTGGTTTAAGATATATTGGCCAACAAAAAAGAGCGTTGAAGTTTCGTATCAAGGAACATGAATCTTATGTCAAAAAAAGGCGAAATTAACAAGTCTTCAATAGCGTATCATAGTTGGACTTTTAACCATAATTTTGATTTTGGGTCTGCAAAAATCATCCAAAAGGCTTCTTCCATAGGTGAATTGGATTTTCTTGAGGCTTTTCACATTCACAAAGATTTAGCAAGTTTAGTTAATGATTTGAAGTCCAATCCAGTCCTTCCTAATGCCTTTAAAATTCTACTATCTTAATTCAGTTATTTTTGCCGATAGTGTGTTACCTCCTCGCGGTTGGTACTACCGAGGGTATAAAAATCCTTTCAGTGGTTGCTTTCTGTTATTTGAAGTTCAGATTTTGAGCGTAAGGTGCATTTACCCCTCGCTCCCTATTTTAACTTCGCTAATATTTCTTTATGCTTGATCAGATAGCCTGGCTCAGTAAAAGTAGGCGGCCAGTGCAACTCTGATTAAAAATCTAGTTATAACCACGTGCAGTGCTGATAAGGACCACGTGTTTCTGTGACTCCTTCTCCTATTTTCTTCTTTTTATGTATTTCTTTCTCCTGATGAGGAGGGACCTACCTCAAAATCGATTTGAGTGTTTCATTATACCTACGCTAAATACAAGGTCGTAAGGTTGTTTTTTACGATTTTGATCGTCACATTAGCGTGTTTCTCTTCTAGTTTAGCAAAGGACTAGTTTGAAATTCCAGAGTTTGTTAACCAAACAAATTATTATATTCACATAGAGTATTATGTGCACTGAAAATTTTGTAGCTCTAAGTGCCACCAGTTTCTCGTAATGCAAGGAATACACATACATACACATGGATTTTTAATTATTGTGTAACAGAGTTAAGGATCATGAATCTCAGCAAGTTTTTTACTTTAGACCAATTCCTACATTTTAGATACATAATCGTTGCACCCAACCCTGAATTTGCCTACTATTATTATTTTTGAATTTATATATATTTGAATCTGTTTTTATTCATTCTGGCTTTCTGGAGTCTAATAATTTTTAATTTATTATCTGAAAAACTAAAATTCATACAGTCTCAGGCCATACATGTCAATGAATTACAACCTCATCCACTACCATGCTGTGTACATACAGTTCAGCCAATGAGTGCTATGCATTTTGGGAAATGTGTAATCCATGGAAATACACTAGTTCATGTCACAATATTTTAAAGGCAAGAAAATCAATTTTAAACAGCAACTTTCCATAAAATATGTTGAATTCTAAAATATATTGATTCAGATATAAAAAGTATCATCCTATTAAAAAACAAAGGCATCATGGATACTTTTGATTATTTACATCCTTATGAAAAGTAACAAATTCTCTACCAATTTTTTGTGAATTGGTGGAAAACTTTTGCTTGGTTATATTTAAAACTCCTACATATGTTTTGTACTTAAATATATAATTAAAAGATAAATTTTATAAGAAAAAAAAAAGAAAGAATGTAGTCAATATTTCCTTTTTCAGCTGTTGGATACTATTTAGCAAAATGACCATAAGCTTATAAAGCCATGGGAACTCAGATGTGTAAGCGATAAGCACTATGTGGGTTATTAACTATCCCATGTATAATTCGAAAATATGATAAAAACTGGCAGTTCCACTGAAAGCTGAAACTCAAGGTGCAGATAATCAAAAAAATACCAATCATGAAATAAAAATAGCATCAATCATAATTTTAATTTATTCAACTTTCTTTCCCCAGCCCTTTTATATTAACAAATTTTCACACACACACACACACACAAAAAAAAAAAAAAAAAAAAAAAAAAATCACAAAATAAATAATTAAACAAACAAATAAATAATTTAAATTATAATCTTTACCAAAGGTGAATATGGCTTTATTTGAGGTGCACATAAGTCTTTCTTTTGAACTTTTAGCTCAGCTGACTGCATACTTGTTCCTTCAAAGGAACTCTGTTGGTTAGCATTAAATCGATTTTTCTCTTCATAAACAAGAGACTTAATTTCATTTCTAAATACTTCTTTTATGCTAGGAACACTTCTTTCACATTCTGAACTGCTGCCATCAGATACATAGCTGCTATCATTTGTATCAACACTTTTTACATGAGTAGCCTTTTCAATTTCTTTGCTAGGAACAGGCCTAAAATTAAAAGGAGTACATGTAAAATAAAGAGTACTGTTAGCATTTACAATAATGTTCATATATTTGTGAATGCTTAACTTTTATCCATTATTTTGCTCCAAAATATCAAACTGTAAAAACAAAACAAAAGTTACTAAGTATTCAATTACATCTACATTAAGCTGCAAAAACTATATTTAATATGCTATGTTCAACACATGTTTTAATCTCTTTTTTAACAGTACTATGATGGAGTCAAAAGACGAAAAAAATAAAAAAACTGCACACAAAAATATGTCTTTCCCTTTATAAAAATTTACTTCCCTGCATCCAAACTGTGAAGGTTCTTTGATTTCATTTCCACATACCTTAATTATAATTTAATACCATTCTAATAATATTTCATACATTATATTCAAAATTCTAATATTAATCAAAAAATTATTTCATATTTGTTTTCTATAAACTATGAATTATTTTATATCACCACTGTGGTTTAAAAACAATTATTTCATATTTGTTTTCTATAAACTATGAATTATTTTATATCACCACTGTGGTTTAAAAACCATAGCATACTAATAAAATGCTGCAAATACTTTTCTACATAAACTTCTACCATGCAAATACTTTTCTACATAAAGCTTTGGAGAAAATTTTAGTTTGTTCACAATTTGTTTAGTTATTTTAAAACAACAATTTTAATCAGCATAGCTATAATAAAACACACAAAATTAAAATGCAGTTAAATAAAAAAACTGAAAGATAATTTTAGCTTGTATATTTACCAAACTCATAATTTCCTGGATACAAATGGTTTCAAGATATCAAAAACACAAATTCAGTTTTAAAAATAAATTCAACAGAAATTTAAATCCATAACCTTGTCTAAGAATGCTCATCAATAATGATTTTAATGTTCTTATAATTTTCTTTTCTAAATCAATCATTATTTGAAAATCCTTTGCTTTCCTGGGTTTCTTATTTAAACTGATAAGTTAAAGTATGAAACTCAAAACAATCCTTTAAACCAAAAAATTTAATTTTATATAAATAACTGAGACAAGACCTGAAAATACAAAATTTTTATGAAAGCTGTACTTTTCCAAGAAATAACAGTAAATGCTCATTACGTGACTAGTGCCAAAAATCATCAACTAGTGAGAGTTTTTTTTTTTTTTTTTTTTAAAGAAAGAGGGCGGAACATAGACAAAAAATTTAGTATGTATATAAATTTTAGGGACAATCAGATTCATATCCCTAAAGAAGAGGGACCTGTAATTGAGTCAATATAATATGCATCTTTTAAGAATTTAATATAAAAATAAGATCCAAATTACAATTTTATTATACATGTAATTATAATGACAAATTATCTCAATACCGTCTTTTTCTGAAAATAAGACATCCTCCGAAAAAAAGCCCTATCATGATTTTCGGAACATTTTCTAAAATAAGACATCCTCCGAAAATAAGCCCTATTGTGATTTTCAGAACTTTTTGTAAAATAAGACATCCCCCGAAAATAATCCCCAGTTAAAATAATGTGACAAAAAGAATTCGTTAAAAAATGCTGTTGATTTATTAAGTAATAATATGTTTAGCTTTCCTAATACTTGTACAGGATTCTTACACATTTCCTTACATGAAAATTAAGGACTTTTAAGGACCATCAAAGAAAAAATTAAGGACCTATCAGCAAACAAAAAATGAATAGAATAAAGCAATTATCCATACAACCGACTTCATGCTTGTAATTTCACTTTAAGAAACTAACAGAAGTGTGTATTATGCACTATTATTAAATTCAATTTAGTACTTACCATAAAATAATTTTGAAAATTAAACTAACTCCCTACAAGTTATGAAGTAGATAACATTAAATTAGGAATATAATTTCTTGAAAAACATGTATCAGTGTATTTTACACTAATAACAGTCACTATTCTAGAGATTTACATGATTATTATTTAACTTATTTGATATTTATTTAAACACAGTCAACTACTATTATAATCCCAATGTAAGCATATTTCACAGATTAAAACAACTGATTTGTAAACATACAATTTATTTCCTTGGTTTTTTGAAAAATACTAGAAAATATACAAGAAAAATAAAACTGTACAATAAAGATACAAAACATTTGTGCTTTTTTTAAATCTGTTTTTTAAAATCTTTTCAGCTGTTTAAACATCTAATTTATTTATGTCTATTTCCTTTTCTTTAACTATTCTTCTAAGTTCATTTGCTTTGATAAACAAATCAATGTTCCTGCTGGTCTCAGCTTCATCTGCTAAAGCATTAAATATCTTTAATGTCCCTTTGAAGAAATTTTTTCTTCTGCTTCATATAATCAATTTCTTCCTCAATAATATTTCTTTTTTTCTTTGAATTTTCAGATTTAGTTAAAGATTTTTGTTCTTCTAAATACTGAACTTCTAAATAATGAAATCCACTTCTTGCAGAAGTGCTGCTGATCTCATTTCTTTATTAATTTCGATATTAAGAACACCTCCAGAAAATTTTATGTAATCAAATACTGTGCGTTGAAAAATGTATGATGAGTCATTTAAATTTTCAATTTCAATTGCTTTATTTACAGAGAAGCCCCTTTCCACAGAGGCCTCTTCATGTTACAAGATAAGAATACTTGTCACAGTGAATACTTGAATAGTGAAAATATACATTTTTTACTATATATACATATATGTAATAATAAAAACACAAGGAAAGGAAAAGCCGGAGCAGTTTCGATGCATGATTAGATCCATATTGAAGAAGATTTTGATTGCGTAGTATGCTAGTAATGCTAACTTGGTAATATCTAAAGAACTTGGCAGTCGAAGCAGTTTTAATTCCATTTTTATTTCCAATTGATATTTGTGGCCACAATCACTTGGCACTCTAGTCGTGCCTTCCACAGAAGATTTACATTTTTGATATTGTTGGGATAGAAAGCAAGCCAGCGAAATCACATCTTAGCACAGTAGCGAGGAAAAGCTGAAGTGCGTCGTTATGAAAGATGGAGGCACGCGAAGAGAAAAGTTTTGGTTTACAAGGACAGTTTCTGTTCCCAATGATTACGTCATCAGAGCTGCGCGGGCCATAGAGTGATCTAGAAATGATGCAATGCAAAGAAGTTATTACGATTTTAGAATAGAGAGGAAGAATTAATGTTTATAGTTTAATCTATAATTTTGATTCATATATTTTTATCTTACATATTCCCCCCTTCAAAAAGAAAAAGGCGTAGCGACAGAGAAGCCTTTTTAAAGAGAGAGTTAAAGCACTAGCAAATAAAAAACAAACATAAATCATAAAATTTTTGTCCTGTAAAGTATAATTTATAAATATCAATTTTTTTTTTTAATAAATTTTTAACTTTTAAGAGTCCTATTGAATTTTTCAGCATTTCAGTGCAAAAGTCTTTTTGTTTGAGAATTCACATAATCATAATTCTTCAGGGAAAATTCTTGTTATTACAGAATATCACAAAATAAACTTTTACTTAATGATTGCTTATAAATATTTATGATATTAATTTTCATACTGATAAATTATAATTTAACATCATAAATAATAGGATTAAGATTTTCAGAATTTATGGTTTCACCTTTATCATCTTTCCATTTACAATTCCTGATTTTACCAAACTGGAAGCCTCGCAATACTTCTAAACAAACATATCCATCAATAGGGCTGTCCTCTTGAGCTAACCAGTGTGTCCTCTGCACTGGTGGCCCAGGGTGCCTAGACAGTTACTTGAAAAGGCCTCCGTTCCTCGCATTAAGGTAACTGGCCTTTGAGAACTGCACTAATACATTCCATAATAAAAATATATAATAATAATAATATAAAAATTTTACATGCACTCATAAAATGAGAGCCTCCAACATTATCTTACTTGAAGAGGGTGAAAGGAACAACTGTACAGAGGTAATTACAGGCCTCTGTTGAAGGAACCAGTACACCCTCATCATACTATACTTAACACACAATAACCCATAAATTTTAAGATGCATTTACCATAATTTCATATTACTTATCTGTACTAATTTCACTTATTTTTAACATCTTTATTTTTAGAATAATTATAAAATTCGTATTCAAAATTCTCAAAAAAATTTCAAAAACATAAAAACTTATCTTAATATCCTTCCCTATGAATAATTTAAATAGCTTAAAATTCGTTACTTAATTTGCTCACACATAATTATGAAAAATTAGAAAAATCAATGAACAAGAATTTCAGATTTTCCCAAACAAATTGCAGAAATTTTAACCACAGTTGAAATGAAAACTATAGAATTCGCAGCATATTAAATGATTTAGTTTTTGAGTTAGAGTCACACGAACGTAACAATTTTTGAGCTGTTGAAAAAGCAGAAGGGCAAATAATTTTCTGTCGCACATACTTGCAAACACTTAACTCGGATCGACCTTGAACCCGCTGTAATGCTTAATTCCTAAACGGTAATTCACTGATGATTTCTTTTTCACTACTATATACATGTGTGTGTGAAAGATACAACAAAATATGATAGCTGTTTTAAAAAAACAATTGGCGACCTCAACATTAACATTCTGAATTTGGTGATCTCCCCCTGGGTTCATCTTTTCTCCCAGGGGTTTTTCTATTTTACGTAATGTTGCAATGCAGATACGTCTTGTGCAATTAAATTAATTACAAACCAAAACTCGGAACAGGAACTTTTCCCACTCCCTTCTTTCTCTGAAGTACTATGATACTCTCCCCTTTTTCATATAAGCTCTCCTGTTGGCAAGACACATTTCATCCATGTTGCTGCCACTTATTTGCTTAAGATGACATCGTACTTCGAAATGGAACTTAACTGCATTCAAATATAATTGGGAAACATCATGTCTGCAAAAGGATGGTTTGATATACATGAAAAATAAAGATTGTGGTTTTTCAAGATCCGTTGTACTAAATGCATCATCATGCTTTTCCACTCAGCCACCTTCAAGCCACTACGGTCTTCTCAGCCATCTAC